ACGTACCAAATAGGCCTATTTATTAAAATCACAAACATTGCAAGAATATGCCCAATAATAATACCCCCACGACCAATATATCAAAACTTACAACATACGCTACAATTTAAAATACCCCAAACCATTATCGCATTACCCATTTAAATATCACGATAATACCCCGGTAATTAGATGCAACACAATAATCTTTACATATCATATAGCAATATTAGGAATCATGTAAAATACAGTATTCCAAACACCACAAAAAGTTGCATTGCAATGCCATTAAATTTAAATTACAGCACAAAACAATATTAATTGCACAAGAAATAACCAAAATTACGTATTAATGATGTATACTTTACTTGTATTTGCTTGCATCACCTATTTATATTAATATTTCCCTGTACTCCTCACAGGGTTATCATTTATATAATCTAATGCAACAGCATTTAGATTTTCAACTGGCTCCCATGTATTCAAGAGTTGGGGGTGGGAAACATTTCCATTTAAATAAGTATTCCAAACGATTATTACGATGACGACCCCTTATAATACTTCCAATCTCAAACTCCTTATTTGACGGATTCTATCATACATACGTTGGAACCCAAAATGAGCGGACAAAACTTGATCATGACATTGGTTTAATACCAAATCAACAAATGTCTGGGGTACATACCAACGCACAGCATTTCGCTTAGGACATGCCGTCTAGCAGGAGTATGCCAAATGTGATACAATAAATCGTCATGAACAAAATATTGATCAGACTGTAAAACATCGCTAGCCTTATTATTGTCTGGAGGCAAGTCACCCTTCACTAAGTACACCAGCGACCGGATCAACTAACATTGCATCATTAAAAGGCCCAGATATTTTACATCCCTTTGGACAAACGTACAGTTTTTGGGTTGTAACCTTAGACCTGCTGGTCGGAATCTATCATTTGATCCAACTGGCATAGGTGTTCCTATCAACTACTACTAAACATGATTATGTCATCTAAGTAACACAAAACAAATGTCCAACTCCACTTCAAATCATCGATATGACAAATATATTATATGAATATACAATTGTAGCAATACAAAACATTAAAATCATAACTAGATGATTTCAAGAATTAAGAGCTAGTATACAATTACAATTAAATTCACTTTCAAAACAAAATCAACTACACAATCATACAACCAATAAATAACTGCCACTAGCTTCCAGTCTGGTCTAATGTCCACGTCGTCCCAGCCAATTCCAACCAGCACTTCGGCATTCCACACAATAATCTCGAATCCACATAACGGTCTTTAAACTATTCGCAAATTGCGTACATCTGTCTTTTCCACACAGCAGTCTGAAATCCACAAAGGCTACGTTCAGACTTGGCGATAAGCCAGGCTTGAGTTAAGCCCGGCTTAACTTTGCCGGGCGTTCAGACTAGCGGGTTTAGCCAGGCGAAAATTTGCATAATAATGAATCGTAACCAGGAAACGTGTTTCAAAACATTGCTCTCGCGAAACGTACGCTCGCTCACAGAGTACGTAAGTGAATGCTGATTGGTCATTTCGTCACCCGAAGTCAATGCAAGACCCCCCTCAACGATTAAAGCCCTGCTTAGAAAAGTTAAACACGGTGTCGCGCCAGGCCTAATTACTACAGGAACAGAGCGCGGCTAGAGATAAGTCACTTAGTTCAGACTGGTAGGTGGATAAACCCGGTGAGTTAAGCCGGGTTTATCCACCTAGTCTGAACTAGGCAAAGGCGTTCAATTCACTAATCCATACAGGAACATCCACACAGCGGTGTTTAATCAATCCAGCACCCACAACCAACTGTCATGAATCATCACAGTGGTCTCTGGCCATTAACGGCTATACTCAACAGGATCATCGGCATCCTCAACAATACAATATTCCTCGTTCCCGTTCCTCACCAATCCTGAACTACATTCAAACTATCTCATGCAACGTAATTCCATTATTAGACATGTACACAAAGTAGTCAATTAACCACTAAAATCAATATAAAAATATTGATTGCGGGTTCTCTCCCATTTGTTGTATTTCATACCAAAATGACCAGACTATTACAAGTTATACCGGTACAACAAGACGTATTCATGATTGCACACAACTCCGTTGCGAACGCGTTGCAAACGGTTCGACATATCAGCGAGGACTAAACCTCACAATGGAATACAAAGCATTTGAACAATCAGGCAGGTGGTCGCACAATCATTCCATCCCACGTCGCAACAAAAGTATAATATCAGCTTTATATGTTATATCAGATTATAGGTCTGCCTACCACAGTGTGTAACATTTACTAGTAGCATATCAAGACTCCAGCTGCGGAGTATGGTTCTGACATAATATTATTCACTCAGACGTGTTTTAATATTCAAGTTTATATAATTCTAAAATAAATATTAAATTGAATAAATATAGGCCTAAGGCTAGTTTTAAGGTATAATATATACCATAATAAAATTTGATTTTAATAGCTATACTATTGTTTTTAATATAAAAGTTAAAGTTTAGATAATACTTACACAGGATATCAAATTATATTAATATAACTGCAAGAAAACTAACGGAAGTTAATACGATATCGTTGATTTCTCATCGTTCACGCTTTTGAAATGCATCGCTCGTTGAAAGCGAGTGTTCAGTAAGTCTACCTACCATGTTGAGTAGCGCTTACGAGTAGACGCCATCTGCAGAGTATGATTCTTACTTAATATTACTTACTCAGACGTGTTTTAATATTGAATACAAGCGCAATTCATTGATGCACCTTGCTCCTTATTATAAAATAATAAGTTACCTGTTACTAAAAATGCTTGTTTGTATAACCGGTAAATTGGTACTTATACAGTATAACCAGTTGTAATTATCAATTAGAATTTTGTAATATAGTCACAATATAACATACTGTTTAATTACTATTAAATAATTGTTTAGCTTCATCAATTGTAAAAGTTCATACGATTTTTGATAACTTTTTACGTTTAGTTGTTTTTGAAAGTGTAGACTAAAGCTATTGTTTACAGCTACTACTAAGT